TCACAGATAGAAACTACACCAGGTGAGTTGTCACAGAGAGGAAACCATTTGCAGCAAATAAGATGATAATGGGAATAATGTCCAAAGCTGTGACTCTCTGAGCAAGAGTGGATCGGTTCCTTTCATTAGGGTTAGTATGAATATTTAAAAAGGGGATCCTTGTCACCATATGTAGAGGTGGGCATAAGGTTGTGCATGTGCCTTAAGGAAACATGCCTATTCACACATTGTATGTTATGTAAATGAAGCTGAGACTCCTCCTTGGGTGAAGATGTTAGTATTATAATGAGTTAAAGGTAACTGTTAGTCATTCCAGAGGTCATTCCGTGGGCCATCTGTGGAGGTGCAAATGGGGGTTCCATTCAAACTGGTCTGGGTGATCCCGGTGGTCTGGAGGTCTTGTCAGGGCACTCACTATCACTTGAGGGGTGGTTTCCCTTCCCATTGCCTGAGTTCAGAGATAAGCTGGAAAGAAGAGCTCAAGGAAAAATGCAAGACAAAGGTCAGTGGGTATAAGCAGGTGGGCAGTAAAGGTCAGATCTTGGGGTCTAGCTGGTGACATAACCACAGATTTAATAAGTTGGTTACATATTTGGTATAGCATTGGCAAAAAAAAGTTCTTCTAAAGAAAATAAGAGACTTCAACAAGTAAATTTTTGTAAGAGTAACTAAGCCATGTTAAAAAAAAAAAAAGATATTACAAAGCAAAAGGCATCACTAATGGTTGGAAAAGAATCCAGCACATTAATTGTTTTATGAGTTTGGAATTCATTATAATAAGTACATCTTAATTTATTGACAATGAGATTTTCAACTTAGATAGGAGTGGGATGAAAAATTGACCAGATTTAGTCATGACTTGACAGAAAGAGTTATAAAAACACATTTTATATAATCAGTTCATATATGTTCCTTTTTTAATTCCTTGGCACAGAGGAGAAAAAGCACTAATTAGTAATACTGCACTTTCCTGGGAGACATATGTTGAGGTCAATGATTAATTACATTTGGGAACAAAATGCCAAATATTTTAATCTTTTCCTTTCTATCAGAGAGTGGATATTGAAAAGACTGTACATCAATGTCCAATTAAAACTACTAAATATCCAGAAAAGAATGCTATGTGAAGAGGAAAGGAAAAACTGCTGACTCTCAAAAACATAATGAATTAGACTAAAATGGAAAGAGAAGACTATAGAATATATATGATACTACAACTAATATGGACAAAAAATTGATATTGCCTCCCTGAAACTCCATATCCCCAAATAATAGCTCTGAGATTCCATCTTATTGACTAGAGCTTTGCCACATATCTTTGGGCAAATCAGTCATATTCGGATATGCCTTGACTTGGGTATTATTTACCACAAGGATTCTGAAGTACTTAAAAACTTTAAAGGAATATTCAGGACCTCAGTGGCACCCAAGAATTTGCCTCTTTCTCTCTCAAACTGCTCTGTTTGGGACTACACAAAACCTCTGGCATGCTTGATACAGACTGATAATTTATTGCTCAAAGTCCCTCACACTCCTTATGCCCTGTTTATTGAAACCGAGACCTGACACGGCTGCCTACCCCATACTCCACCCACATTTAAATACTCAAACCAATAATATAACGTACCCAATTCACAAATTATGATTGAATTTGAAAAGTCACATCAGCAACCAGAGGCATAAAAAGAAGGGAGGGACAATCAATGCGTGCTGTTAAGAAAGAGGATTTTACCACTAACGTTGCTTAAAATTGCTAGTACATTGTACTTTTGAAAGCACTATGACTTTTTGTTGGGTTTATTACTGTTTTTATATTCCCAGCAGACACTGAAACCCATTAATGCTGGTGCCTGGAGTGGACTGCTCCCACCCTCCACTCTCTTTGTTTGTCATTGTCAGCATCTCTCTCCAGAAGTATTCCCATTTTCAAAACAATCATACTACATTACTCTCTTCATTTTAACTACTAAGGGGAAGATGGTTGCTTAATCTTAGGAAGCGTGAGGGCAGGAGAAAAAGCTAACATAAGATCAAAACATATTGCTGCTGTGGCTTTGAAGGTTCAATTCCATTGACCCCCTGAGAAGTACACAGAAGACCTCCCACAATTGTCCACCTGAATGGTAGGAGGTGCATGTATCTACCAGCTTCCACACTGATTTGTGCAGGATTGCCCAGGACAATCATAATTCACTGCGATGGGTTTTTTTCTTTTCTTTTTAAAAAAAATTATCATTCTAATAGTAGTAGTAGTAGTAGTAGTAGTAGTAGTAGTAGTAATTTTATTATTGTTATCTGTGCAGCTAAAACCAGACTTGAGCTAAGAGGATGTGATGCAAAGCCCCACTTCTTGGAAAGCACTCTCATTTGGCAAAGGTAATATCAAGACATTCACAATGTCTTACAGTTTTATAGTGCTTTCTCAAATGCACATACATTTATTTTTACAATAATACTATTCAGTTGGTATTTTTATCACCATCATTATCATCATCATCATCATCACCATTCCTACTGCAGATATGAGAAGTGCTTGCCCTAAATCAACACAACTAATAATCTGTAGGGCAAAGACCTAAATTCAGGTGCTCTTTTACATTATTTATTACTTCTTTAAAAGAAATAAGGCACATAATACATATACCTTTGCTTGAGACTTCCACCACCTATATGCAAGCTGAATATTCAAAAAAACTGATGATCATAGGGTCGTGTTGATTTCTGAACATCAATTATAATAATAAAAATAGATGCAGATAGGGCATCTGGGTGGCTCAGTCAGTTAAGCGTCTGACCCTTGATTTCGGCTCAGGTGATGATCTCAGGGTCGTGGGATCAAGTCCTGAGTCTGGCTCCATGCTGGGCATGGAGCCTGCTGAAGATTCTCTCTCCCTCTCCCTCTGCCCCTCCCCACCCCACTCACACACACGTGTGCGCTCTCTCTCTAAAAAAATTTTTTTTAAAATAGAGGCAGATAAACTATAAGTGAGGATAGAACCTCCATTCAGCCATGGCTAAATTATTCAACTGATTTGATTTGCCATGGTCCATACAGCATTGTGGTGAAGGCAGCCTTCAAGATAGGCCTCCAGGATTTTTGTGTCCCGGTATTTAATGATCCCCTCCTTAACTCAATAGGCTGGTATGTTTAACCAATAGAAATAGCAGAGTGTTGATTTATGAGGCCATGTCATAAAATATAAGAGAGGCCTTGCTCTCTCTTATAATGCTTATAGCAGCCTATCACCTGCCACGTGGTAAGGATGCTCAAGCATCCCTATGGATAAGTTCTCACGGCAAGGAAATGAGGCCTCTGGCCCAAAGCAGCACTGACTTGCCAGGAATGCAAGTCAACACTAGAAATAAATCCTCCAGGCCCAAGCAAGCCTTCAAATGACCACAACTTCACGAAGGACCCTGAACCAGAACAACTTAGCAATGCCACTCCTCTGTTCCTGACCCACAAAAACTGCATGATGTAATCAACATTTACTGTTCTTTTAAGCTGCTACGTTTGGGGGGAATTTGTTAGGCAGCAATGGATAATTAAATCAGGCAAGAATCTGAAAATATTAGATTTGCACTAGTTTTTATTACTTTGAGAATACCCAGCTGTGCTGCATTCTTAGAACTGATGCATAGAATCAGGATTCACAAATAAATTCCATCTTCTAAGATACACACTGTGAAATTCCTTCTGGTGAAATTTCCTAATAAGGAAGTAAATTTGTTACAATAATTAACGTACCATTCTTACAGTGCAAAATGAATCTCTTCCATATCAATGTAGAAAGTTCTACTCTATAACAAGTAGTATTAGCACAAGTTTCCAATAATCTATGTTTCTGTGGCTCCCCATGTCATCGCAGCTAATATAAAGCACCTCTATCAGAATCTGAGTGTCCTGGGCTTGCAGCTGACGTGGTTTCCAGGAGACCACCAGCTAATCAAGGTAACAAAGTTTATCAATCTGAAATAATTCACCTGTGGATGTATATCTGTATTCTAAAATTATGGGAGGGGGTAAAGTGAGAATTATTATATTTTGTGGAAAGGGTTGGTCAAATTGCAAAAATACAAAGTAATAGATGATTTTTAATAAATAATTTTAAGACATTGAATAAAAATAACTTGTCTATAATAAAAAGCAAGGGAGTCTGAAAGATAGTTGCAAGATGATGCCATAAACAATTATGCTATAGTACTTTGGGGGAAGGTAATATAGAGAATAATACTAACACCTAATATCTCTGGAGTTGTCCATGTGTTAAGTGTTTTACACACATTATCACAGTTAATCCTCAGAAATTAATCTTAAATTCTGCCTCCTTCTCAATCATTCTCAACATCCATACAAATATTCTATAATTTTTCTCATTTAAAAACAAGCAAAAGAAACTCCTTTGACCACATATCCCCCTAGTTTCATTTCTCAGCTTGCCTTATATCACATTCCTAGAAAATTTCCCATAATTGTTGATTATAATCCCCAGGCTCACCCCCCCCAGCCCTGGTTGGCACATTTTACAATGGTTTTCACCTCTACCACTCAACCAAAACTGCTCTTGTCAAGTCACCAATGTCTCCTACTTGCCAAAATCCTCTAGTCTATCCTTAATAATTATCTTCCTTGACCTCTCAACAACACTTATACAGTTGATCCCTCTCTCCTTGAAACACTCTGCTCATTTGGTTCCAGGATGCTATGCTCTCTGGGTCTACTCCTAAGGACCTAAGGACTATCCTCTTTCTTAGCATCTTTAGCTGGTCCTTCTACACTTTTCCAACTTCTAAATATTGGAGTATCTCTACACTCGGTCCTTGAGCATCATCTCTTTTCCATCTACACTCGCTCTCCTGGTGATTTCATCTAGCCTCCCATCTGTAAACGTCCTCCATACCCTGAGGACTCCCAAATTGACACCTGCAGAGTGCACCTTATCTGTGAACTTCAGATTCTTACAGTGAACATTTCCTTGATGTTTTCTCTTGAATGCCTAATAAACATCTCAATCTCAACATGTTCAAAACTTGAGCTCCAATGCCCCCAAATGTTAGTGCCCCATCTCAGTTGATGGCAACTCATTCTTTTGGGTTCTTAGCTCAGAAACCTTAGAGCCATCATTCACTTTGCTCTGTCTTCTGTACTCCTCATCCAATAGTCTGTGATGCCACCTTGAAAATATATGCAGACGCTGACCACTTTCCAATTCTGGTGTCACCACTCTGGTCCATGCCATTACCTTCTCTCAACTAGATTATTGTAATGGTCTCTTAACCATATACCTTTTCCTATCTTTGCCAACCCTACAGTTCATTTCAACAGAGTAGCCTGTTTTTCTTCTAGATATGTGAGATCATGTTGCTCCTCTGCTCAAAACACTTCAATGTCCTCACTCAGTTGAATTAAATTTTGAAAATGGCCTATGTGACCTACATGATCCCTCATTACCTCTGCCTCATCCCCGACTTCTCTCTCCCTCACCTACAGCACTGCAGCCACATTATCCAACTTGCACTTGGGACACGCCAACACATGCCTGCCTCAGGCTTTGTCCTTTCTTTTTTTTTTTTTTTTTAATATTTTATTTATTTATTTGACAGAGACACAGTGAGAGAGGGAACACAAGCAGGGGGAGTGGGAGAGGGAGAAGCAGACTTCCCACGGAGCAGGGAGCCCAATGCGGGGCTCGATCCCAGGACCCTGTGATCTTGACCTGAGCCGAAGGCAGACGCTTAACGACTGAGCCACCCAGGCGCCCGGGGCTTTGTCCTTTCTACGGCTTCTGCTTGGATGACCCTTCCCTCAGACATCTGCCTGGCTCCCAGCATCATCCCCTCAGGTCTTTGCTCAAATGTCTTTTTCTTGGTGAGGAGTTTCGTGACTATGATATTTTAAAGAGGAGATCACACCTGTACAGCTTAGCGTGCTCATACTTTTCCCAGTCTTAGATTTCTCCATCATACTCTTCACTAGCTTATATGCTGCAGAAGCTCTATGAAGGCAGGGAAAAGAAACTAATGTTTTGTTTGCTACTGTCTCCCCTCTGCTTAGCTTGGTGCCTAATACAGGATACACACTCGTTACATGACTACACGAGCTGGGTATCATGAGTAGCTGTATTGTAGCCGCATCTGCGAGTAGAGAAAACAGGTCACACAGCTAATCTGCTGCAGAGCTGGCTCTGTCCTGCTCCTTACCACTGTACACATACTACTCTTTGGCAGTGAAGAGCAGGTATGACCTGGAATTTGGCAGAGCTAAGTTCAAATGCAAGTTTTCCCGCTTACTTTTGATGTGACTTAAAGCAAATTACTGAACCCTAAACTTTAATTTTCTTAGCTTAAAAATGAGATTTGCAATAAGATCTGCCTCTTGGGGTTGCTGTGAAGATTAAATACCCTAGATCTTATCTCTCAATTAGGAATCATATTCAGCACATGTGATGTAAAGCCCATTAGCAATGGTTTGAAGAAAGAGTTTATTTTCCTCATATAACAAGGGGTTTAGTGGTAAGCTGTTCAGAATCGGTATGTGCTTGAGCAATCAAAACTTATTATGGATACAAAGTCTTATATTACAGTAAAACATAAAACAAATAAAAATACAGGTCTCATATACTAAAATGGCAAATAATAATAATTAATAATAACAATAGTTTCAGTTAATGTGAAAAGGGAATAAATTTTGATTTTCTTTTTTTTAAAGATTGATTTATTTATTTTAGAGAGAGGGAGAACAGTGGGGAGGGGGCAGAGGGAGAGAATCTCAAGCAGACTCCCACTGAGCACGACACAAGGCTCCATCTCATGATGCAGGGCTCTATCTCAGGACCCAGGGCTCAATCTCAAGACCCATGAGATCATGACCTAAGCCAAAATCACGAGTTGGACACTTAACTGACCAAGCCACCCAGGCGCCTCTGATTTTCTTCTTAATTTGACTCTCTTTCTTAACCTATTAAGATTTCAAGAGCTTGAGTTTTAATTTTGTTATCCATCATACTCTCGCTGCTACCAAGGTTGGTGTCACCAGTGAGCATGTTAACTCTCCTCCAAGTTCTTCATTTGAGTTATTGATAGAAATCACTGGGGCGCCTGGGTGGCTCAGTTGGTTAAGCAACTGCCTTCGGCTCAGGTCATGATCCTGGAGTCCCGGGATCGAGTCCCGCATCGGGATCCCTGCTCGGCAGGGAGTCTGCTTCTCCCTCTGACCCTCCCCCCTCTCATGTGCTCTCTCTCTCTCAAATAAATAAATAAAATCTTAAAAAAAAAGAAAAAGAAATCGTTAAGCAGGACACAACAGAATAGAGCCCTGTGGCAGGCTACTAAAGACCACTCTTTGACATTAGTGCTTTCATGGTGCAGTCGTTCTACTAATCAAAATGTTGTAAAATTATCATTCATATTTTCCATTCTTTCTAAATTGTCATTAGAGATCTTGTCCACTTGCATTGATGAGACTCTGACACAGAATTTTCCTGGCCAAGCTCCTGATACTGAGCTTAATGTCCTTCTCCCTTCTCAATCTTTTTCTTTCTGGTTTCCTCTAGCCCTTTCACTTATGCTTTGAACCAAGAAATGAGCTTACATTTATCACAGATGTAATTAGTTATTGCTTTCACAAGGAATGTAGCTCAAACCCTGCATGTCACTGAAAATGTGCTCTTTGCTTCCACACCTCTTCTTGGTTGCAGTGCGAACTGCTGCCTCCGGAAACTACCTCCACTGCCCCACTCATGGGGCAAGCTCTTGAAAAGAGCCAGTCCAAAGCCTCTCCCTCCCCTGAATGGTTTGACATATTCCCAGGTAGCTCTCAGATGACGTTGCCTAAATCAGTGACACACACCTTCTTTCAAGTTCCAGTGTCATGTCACCAACTGCCTACTGAATCCCTCTACCAGGATGTCCCTCCCAGAGGATAATTAGGGTTATCAGGTTCCAATCCACTAAACTCCCCACTCTCTCCTTCACCACCAGCCCAATCCCCTTGCCCCTATCTACGAAACCACCAATTCTTCAATGTCGTACAATTCAGTCCAGAAGTATACAAATGTTTCTTGGGTATTGATGTTCTAGGAGCTGTTCTAAGCATCTGTAGGGGCCAAAGGTAGGCTGCCCCAAAATGTGCCACTTTGGCATATCAACTATTTTAAATAGAAGTTACTTAAGAAATGGCCAAATGTTAAAAAGAACACTCTGACTGCCTCTCTCCTCTTTGTCTCCAGAAAGCAAGAGCTAAATCTCCCATTTGAAAGGAATTCTCCCTGGACCAGGAGGTAAAGAGACAGAAAATTTAGAGCAGAAAAGGCTGTGTAAACAACCCTTGTTACTTTTTAATAATTTACTACCATAACCCAAATTCCGTTTAGAATTCCTAATTGAAGCTCCCAAAGTTACTTAACTTCTTTGTCCTGTCAGATCCTCACAGATTTATTATCTCTTCGTCTAAAAAATATAAAAATTGCCTGCCTTGGTCATTTCTTGAGGTCTCAATTTTTTTATGGGGCCTCTGTGTGCACATAATAAAACTTTGGGTTTTTTCTCTTGTTAATCTGTCCCGTGTCAATCTAATTCTTAAACCGGCAGAGCTTAAAGAGTAGAAGGAAACATTTTTTCTCCCCTACACATCCCATATACAAACCTCAAGGCACTTGGTCTAGGGAGATTAACAAATGGAAAATGACTTATTTCTACAAAATGATGTAGGCAATAGCTTAAATAAATTAAAGAAAAATAGGTATTCATGTGAGCAGAAGAGGAATATCTGAAGTATTGTCACTTCAGATGTATGTGATCCGTGTGACTCTATATAGGGGGCCAATCAGACTCAGCACACAGAGAAAACACAGAGGAAACCTCTCCAGGAGGCCCAAATCACCACACCTGTGCTTGAATAACTTCATAAAACAAAGGGATGTATGATGGGGGCATCAATGTGGATGGAAAGAGAAGCTAATAAAACAAACAGTCACAGCCTTTTGACCAACTTAATGAGCAGATTCAACATATTGCTGGGTACCGAGAGGCTGAAAATTGTGAAAAGTATATTGCTTTCTCACAGATGGCTTCAGGACTCACCCAGACCACTAGGAAGCTTCTTGAAATATCACCTGCAGCTCATACTCAGTGGAGAATTTGGTTAACATCATGTCATAAATGCATTAGGTATGCAAATATCCCCAGCTTAGTTCTGTAGAGACAGTCGTCGTATATGTATGGATATTAATTGTGCCCGGTCCTGGACCCTGTGCTCTGGGGAGACAATCGGGAGTTTGTAATCTTCTTTTAAAAATGACCCATTCATTCACACAAGCCCGCAAGCAATTATGCAATCTACTCTACTATGATGTATTTGCATATATGCAAGGAATAAAGTAGTGAAACGACCAAGAGAGAAATAAAGTGCCAAGTGTTAAGTACAATGCAATTCTTAGTGGGCTATAGGCTTGAAGAGCAGATCTGCAACCTTCACATGATGAGGCCTATTAAAGTGCTTTTGGACCGTGCAGAACCCCTGAAATGCTGTCGCAGCAATACCAACAATAGCACCTGTCCCTTAATCCTGCGTCCCTGAGAGTGCCGCCTCACTTTTCTAACTCCTAAATTCATGTTTTGTATTTCTAAGCTCTCTTTGGTATCGCAGATCTGGTATAAGTTAAGCGGACAAATGAGGATGTAAGAAATGGGGAAGTTAGGAAAGGAAAGCAAATGATAAGTGAAGCTCAGAAAGAGTGGGACTGAGTTGATTCGATCAGAAAGCGGTGGTGGTTTAAGAAGCTGGATGTGGGGCCGCAACTTCCCCACACCCTTCTGTAGCTGCCCACCCACAAAGCTGTGGTTTCTGACCAAGAGGAGATAGTTGATGGCTAAGAAGTGTCCCAGAGAGATGACTTTTGGAATTTTCTTGGACTGTACCTCACTCACAGCTGCCCTTCCCAAGTACCCATCAGGCTCGGACTCGACCAGGAGACATTCATTGGCAGTGCGCTGGGCTACTGGCCTCAGGCACAGACTGAAATTTGGGGCAAATAAAGCAAATGGAGGCAGGAAGAGTCATCGATCATCTCCAGGCCGAGAAACTCTCTTAAAACAAACTAAATTATATTATTTGCAATGCTCAGCATGTGTTAAAATGCTCCGGGCTTTTTTAATTCACGTGCTCAGAACTGTCAGGAGAGCGCCTTCATTAAACTAGTAATTGACAGATTGGTTTTGTTGATCCCCAAGACCTTGCTTATTTCCTAAACAGTAGGGGGTCTAAAATGAGGAATTGTCTGAAAAGAACGAAAATAAAATAGGGATAGAGGGTTTGGATTGGCCCCAGTTGCCGGACTCTTGTGAAGAAGCACAATATTCCCTCGGAAAAGAAATGGCAAGGGTGTATTTTCCTCTGGAGCCTCATCAGTGATGATAAATGAAGCCAAATTAATCCTCTGTTGGTCTCATTTGCTTCCCTCTTTGGAGCTGTATTCCCCTGCATGATTGTTTGTAACTGAAGACAATCTCTTAATTGTTCTTTTAAATAAACCTCCCAAAGCTTCCAGTTTGGTTCAGGGGGTGGGAATTCCATGATACTGAGGCTGCCATTCAGGGCCATCCTTATGGAAATAAATTGCATAACTGAAGTGTCTCATATCCTGCTCCACTGGATTTTTCTTCAGGGATCTATCTCCAAATCACCAGCATATTTTTAGAAATTCAAACAAAAACACTTGAGTGTCACAATATCCTGCTAATTAGCCATTGTTTGTAATGTAGCCCCTCTCTGTTTTTCCCATATTCATCTTCCTTCTCCCCAGAGTTGCCCATCATCCATTTATTACTTGTGCTATATCTCTAAAGTTTATGCTTAAAATTTTGAAACATTTCATAACAAAGACCACCAGCAACTTCATTAACCAGTGAAATATTAAGTAAGTCATTTTATTCTATCTCATATAGACTTCCTTTAGCAGGGTTTTTATTTGTTTGTTTGTTTTTGAGAATTTTGAACTTCCAGTCACTCTATATTCAGCAGTCTGACTTTAGGTTTGCACAAACCTCACCCAGAAAGGCCACTTGTGGAAACATAGCACTGAACTCCATTGTTGCCTTGTCCCACCAGTGTCCCAATGCATTTTAAACCTATCCTTTCCTCCTTAGAAAAATGCTCCTGAGAATTCACAGACACCCATCGTCCTATCTTATCTCAGGAATGAAGTGCCAGCAGTACTGAGGTGGATGTGGGGAAGTGAAAACATAATCAGGGGGAGGCAGAGTACGGGGACCACCCTCAGTGCTTTAAAAGGGCAACCCTCAGAGTCATGGCTAGAGCTCGTGTGCAATGAGTATCGCCCAGATCTGAGCAGGAGAAGAGTCTTGGAGCAGTCCAGAAGCAAAATCCAAGAGCCAAGTTATCATGAAGGTGAAGATAATAGCATCAGAATCTCCTGGAAAACTATTTTATTTTATTTTTAATTTTTTAATTTTTATTTTTAAAGATTTTATTTATTTGACACAGAGAGAGAGATAGCCAGAGAGGGAACACAAGCAGGGGGAGTGCAAGAGGGAAAAGCAGGCTTCCTGCTGAGCAGGACCCTGGGATGGGGGGCTCGATCCCAGGACCCTGGGATCATGACCTGAGCCGAAGGCAGACGCTTAACGACTGAGCCACCCAGGCGCCCCTGGAAAACTATTTTAAATAATTGGACTCCCTTTTGAAGAACCAAGTCCTCTCTTATACACATATGCCAGGGACGTCTTCATCCTATTGTTGATGTTTGATCCATTGCAGTAGGGCATCTGGCACTCACGGAGAGGGTGGTGATGGTGAGGTTGGAGGAAAGCCAGATCCAGGAAGGGCTTCAGTGGCCATGTTCCGTAGCTTCCTCTTCTTCCTAAGAGCAATGGGAAGCCACCAAAAGGTAGAGTCGGCATGAATTTCTGGTCACAAACTGAGTTGTGAGGAAAGACGTTACTTCTACAGTGTTCAGCATTCTACCTTAATTTCTATTTTAAGCTCATTCCACCAGATGGCACATAATGAATTACTATCAATTCTCTAGAAATTCTATCAATTCGGGGTTCTTTAATCAATGTAAGAGTTCATCATTTCCCATCCCCAGAGTTGCGTGTTCCTTTTACGGGTGCTCTGTTGTCAACCACTTCTAGGGAAATGAATGCTGCTCCATCTTTCTTCATGGTTGACGCCCCCATGCCATTCTCACTGGTGCATCCAGTATAGAGGCATTAGGTTATGAATATCCTAAATGGCCCCAAACAGCAAGACCAACGGTAGAATGCAGGATATGAAAACCTTATTCTGCCACAAATCGTTTTTAAACGTGGATGGGAATATGATCATAAAATAGATCGTTCTGTGGATGCTCTGTAGGTAAAGGGTTGAAGAGATACAGCAATGGATGCAGAGAGCCCTTAGGATATTATAAATAATTTCAGGATTGCGATAGATGTAGCTTGGGCGAGGGTGGTTGAGGAGAGATGGAAGTAAGAATATGGGCTCATAGGATATATATAGGATAAGAATGACAGAATTTGGTAAAAAGGTTGGATATTGGACTGAAGGAAAGGTAACCCCTTGGGTTTCTGACTTGAGCAACTGGATGTGTGTGGGTGCTGTTGGCTGGGTGAGAGAACAGTAAAGGAAGATCTGGGAAAATAGCCCCAGGTGATTTTGATATGTTGACTTTGAGAGGCCTTTCAGACATTCAAGCGAATGTTAGCAGGACCAATGTAATGGATGGAGACTAAAAGGAGAAGTCTGAGCTAGAAATATAAATGAGACCTCTGCGTATGGATCCTTTCCATAAAGATGGGTATAGATGAGAGTGTTAAGAAGGAGAGTCTACAATAGGAAAATAATGCAGACATGAGTCCCATCTTTTATTTACATTGGTACAAGTTTCTTATTGGCTGATTCAAAGAAGAGTGAGTGAGTACCCATGGCACACCAAATGTCTTCCTCTGTATTAAACAGTCAGTGGTCCATCACAGAACGTAGAAATATCAACACCTCCAACTTCAGAGTAAGCCTTCTGCTCACCAAGGTTCTTCATCTCTGTGCTAATGAGAGTTTTGTTCTCTTTCGTTTGCTATTTTGAGATATTTAATCTCCAGGCTATTAACAGTGAGCATCAAGCTCCCTTTCTTGTGCAGTGACAACGTCTGCAGCCTGCTGTGGTTCTTCATGATTCCAAAGTGATATCCCCACTATAAAAAGAAGATGGTAAGTTTTCTAATCTTCTGTATTAAATAAAACAAGAGAAACAATACCTGGAAGAGTTATGGAACTTACTAATGATTTAAAAAAAATGAAAGTTTATTCAATTGTAAATAGTTTATAATAGATTTCAAGTCTCTGCTCCCCAAGTCCAAAGTTCAATTCATCTATCAAACTCTATCCTAGAAAGATAAATATATGCACACATGTTCCCAAAATAAACACAGCTTGTTTCTAACAAATAAATCTGTGCCAAAAGTCCTAGAATTTCTGATGAGAGTAGGAAGTGTGGATTCTTAGGAAGGGTGCAACGATTATTTAATAATTAATCAAACAACAAGCCCTAAAAAAAGTGTTGCATAAATAGAGAGATTTTAAAATTGTCTGTTTTCTTTTAACTGTTTCTCAAACAAAAGGGAAAATGTGATAACCTCAAATTTAATGAAAACATGTTAAATACAGTTTTTAAATGGGAGCAAAAGTGATGAAAATAACTAAGAATGAAAGGAGGAACAACAGGTTAGCACTGGGTGACATTTCAAAATACATTTATGCTGATTTATTTTTAAAAGTTCAAATATTTACATAAATTATACCTAACATTAATAAAACCAACAGAATGCCTGTGTTTCCATTTTCTAGGGATGTAAAGGTAGGTTCTTTATGTAGTGTGTCCAAGAATATTCTCCTCCTAGTTCTTTGGTCATCATGGAACATTGAGACAACAATAATTCCTGGGTGTTGTACTTCTGAGTAAAGGGGTAGCAATCCGGCCTCACACTTCTACCATTTAACCAATTTATATTTCCAGAGTGTCATTGAGGCGATGCCAAGGACCCGGGGATAAAAAACATGGTCAGTGAAACCCAAAGCCAAAGAAGGATGTGTAAAGGGGACCCAAAGCCAAGCGTCATGGTGTGTACCATAAAGCCTAGAAGGGAAGAGGAGTGGGGAAGTGGGGGGGGGGGGGTGCAGCTAAAGTATTCCGTGGAGACCTCATAGAAGAAATGGGGTCCAAAATGTGCTTTGAAAAATTAAGTGCAAAAGAATGCCAAGTGTTTTGAAGGAGAAGAACTGCAGGAGGCAAGAATGACAACAATGGTATTTGTGACTCATTTACAAAACAAGAAAAAACAATAAAACCCAGTCCTGTTGCAATAGGAGTTAGTTTGAATCAATTAGGAGTTAAATTAGCAGTAGGTTGGAGCGGATTTAACTTCTTTCAATACCAGAAGACTATTAAAGGCAAAGAAAAATGTCATGACTGTAATTGTTTTTATTTCAGTGCCAACCAAATTTATTTATTTTTTCTCTTACAGGCAAAGGATGTATCTTTGGGTACATCTCAGTACTTCATTATTCCAAATGTTTACATCCAAACAGAGCAGAGACACCTATCAAGTACCTGAGGAAAGAGGCCACAGCCAGAACTGCATCGGACAGCAACAAATCCTTGCCCTTGGACGTCCGTCCCCCAGGATGATCTGTGCAGGATGTAAAGCCAGAACAACTTTCATAAACTTAAACTTGTTCATCTCAAATTCTGTCTCTACCACCCAAATATATTACAGTTCCTCTCCATCTGTAAAGGACAGGAGGTTGTTCTTATCTAAAGTAAAAAGGAATAAGACTACTGTAGATGGAAGTTTCAGATACTCGGAAGTAAGGAGCAGATAGCTTCAATCAATAGTGAATAGCTCTGGGTGAACTTGGATCTGGTATAAAGGATACAACACAAAACAGTTCCATCTGAAGATAATAAGTCTTCAGTCAAAAAGAGGCAGTAACTGTGATGCATGTCATTCATGATTTCTTTTTTATTCCTTTTTTATGTACAGCTCAAATATTTGAGACTTGGGAAGTAGAGGTTCTGCTAGATCTAATATTTTGATCTTCCTTTGAATTTAGTTTAAAAAAATGGAAAGCTCCCAGTTGTTATATAGCTCCCTGGATTTTGTAATTTAAGTGAAAAACACTGAAAATGAGGACTTCTTAAATCTAGACTGCAGTCATATCTATTTAATTGCACTTTTTCTTGTGCTTCTCTAAGCTAGACTATTACACTTAGCAAAAAGCTTAGTAGCATAATTACAGTGCTATAAAACATTTTCTCCCTTTTTTTAAACTAGCATCTTCATCTGCCACATTTCAAGATGCATCACTAAATTATACAACCTGACAACTATTAAGGTTTTTGCTATACTTCACAAATCAAGAAAAAAATATGCTTCATTTTCAGGGTAAGTTATTTTAATTGTCCTAATGCCTAAAACAGTATCTACAAAATCTTTGAAGATATTAAATTTATTTTATAAAATCAGATTTTTCATAAATCGATATAATATTATATATATTATACATGTTATATCTAATAAAGAACTACTAAAATTCCAAATATTATTTTCTGATAAAAGTCAGAAATATTAACTGAATTCAAAATATATAACTGTTTCACTGTATACAAAACTATAATCCAATATATCCTCTCCTAATCCTGAAAAATCACCAGGTAATCAAGTTTTATATTATTTGCAGGCTTCTAAAGAATATGCTCTCTCCTTCTTGAGAGTTTTTCCCTCCTCCTAACAGATGAGTTTATTGTCTCCACTTCCAAGTTGATTTTTACTGTTGTTAAGTCTTTGAAAATTGTCTTATCTCAAAATCTAGCCAACTAGGTTTGCCTTTTTGGTATCACTTGGTATTATATCAATCTCCTCTGTGTACCAAACGCAAAATAGAATGCTTCCACAGTCTCCACTCATCTCATTACTCCTCTACACAAATATTTTGGATTGAACCATGTCTGTCTTTTTCATCAACCATAAAAGCTGCAAAAGTAATTCTACAAGATAATTTGTCTTCAATGGGATTCTTAGTTACACTTCCTTAGTCCATAAGCAAATTTTAATATGCAGGGGATCCAAAAAAAACTATCAATAAAAAAATCTGTATTACATTATAAAGGTACTAGCCACAATTTAAAGTATACATAATGATAAAATAAAACATTTTAACTATTTATAGCATTAGATGAATCTCATAATACTCAATTTTCTTTTTATCAGTGAAGCAAACATTTAAGAGTCTTTTTATATTTAAATTCATTTACATCAGAGGTGCCTGCAATCCACATTTTTATTAAAAAGACAATAAGCATTTGGTTAAGAGGCTTGAAAAAACATGTTATTTTGAATATTATATAGTATTTTTCTATCATTGAAGACTGTTGAGCGGTGCCTGGGTGGCTCAGTTGGTTATGTGTCTGCCATCTGCTCAGAGTCCTGGGATCAAGCCCTGCATCAGGCTCTCTCTTACTGCCCTTGCTTCTGCTCATCTGCAAATAAATAAAATCTTAAAAAAAAAAAAAAGACTGTTGAAAAAATTTTTTGGTTGTATGATTTCATTTATTTTATTTTATTTTTTTAAAATTTTTTTGATGGGGGGAGGGGCAGAGGGAGAGTGAGAGAGAGTCTCAAGCAGGCTCCATACCCAAATACTTTCTATATGAGCTTACTGAGATACTAACATGTCTGGAGAGAAAAAAATTTGTGTTTAAGTGAAAATGCACCTTCTTCATGACAGTGATTTACTGAATTCAACAAATGGTTCAAAACATATTCCTACCTTAGATAAGATTCTCAATCTTGCTATGAACTTGGTCCACAAGATAACACAGACATTTAACAGAGTTCTGGTATCATAGAGCCTAATTCTTCAATTATGAAATATATTTTGCTTCTAAATAGAGTAGTTCTAAAAATTAGTTGGTCACCAGCTAACTGCAGTAGTTAACATAGCAGGAAATTGCTTTTGCAACATTGCTCGAGAGAAACACAGTGATTTTTCTTAGCCTTAGTTTATAATCTTGGATCCATCAAAAAGATCCTTGATATCCATTAAAAAGTCCTTTGTGGAGCTGAAAATGGTTCTCATGTTGAGTTGTCTTTAATTTTTATTTCCCATACATAGCATTGTAAACCCATAGAATTCCTCTAGCTAATACCCTCTAGCTAAGGTCATTTTCTCCTTTCTGCAACTCCTACCCCCTCAAGGCTACTTGTTGCTGTCCAGTTTAAATATATACTTCTGAACACTGCCATCAAATCCATCCACTGACTGGCCCAAGATAAACTACATGCGTAATGTTTTCTTGCCTCTGAATTGCGGATCGAAATCCACACTTTGCAACAGTATTTTATTAATGAATTCTAGTTATTTTCAATGTACAAGTATAATCCCTGCTATTCCATTTAAGCTAATATCTATATTTTGCCACTCATATATGTTTCTTTTCTTCCTTGTTAATAGATTCCTTAAGAAATAATGTCAAGTATTCCTTAAATATGCATTCCAAAATGTGGAAATCTTAAGTGAGCATCACCCAACTTGTCGGCAAACACTGAGGAAGAAACTTGTAATGAGCAAAATAAAATCTTTTAAGCCTGGAAATTTACTAGAAAGCAAGACAAATGGTTGAAATTGTTTCTCAGAACAGCAACAGTACTTGAGAGCAATAAAAAATGTGATAATATTTAATGGCCTTTGTTAATACATGATAAAGTCCCTAAATTGTAATTTACAATCAAAACAGTTGGTGGCACCTTTGAAACAATTTTTTGTTTTTGACGGCATCTATGTTTCCTGCAAGTTCTTAGACAATCACATTAATATATAAAATCTTCGTAATTATATTGGTTTAGACATATTTTCTATAATATTATTTTAATGTAACTTCCATTAACATATATGCTCTGAAAGAATAATAATAATAATAGCATCTGTGCCCTCAAGTGATGGTACTTATTACTCAGATATTTTTGCAAGGGTTATAGCCTGATAAAAACTTTGACTTCCTCTTAAAAACAAACCAGGAATCCCTTGGAAACAGCATTTCTTACCCAGACACAAGATCAGGCTCAGTAAAGTAAATACAGCAATGTGGGAAGGGTTGAGGAGATGTATTAACAGCTTCTTAAATGTCCCCAATCTTCTTAGATGCTCTTTCCCAGTAGGCTGTTACATGGCTTAGAACTTCCTACCAGAGAAAATTGTTCTTTGGGATAAAGTATTACAAACTCACTACAATCCTTTTCAAAGGCAAATGTCCTTGAGAGGTATAATGCATTGAGGCTTAACTACTGTTAGCATCAAGAAAAGTTTAAGTGGCATTTAATCAGTGTTTCCATAGATAGACATATGTGTAAGGTTTTGTAGTTTTTGTTCGGGCTGGTGAGGGATAGTTTATACCACTTCTTTCCTGAATTTGAAACCAAGTAAGAGGTAGGTTCACACAGATGACGAACAGATTCTATAAAACTGGATTGAGAATGCAGCTTTGACCAGCTGCATTGTATACTTCTTCTTTTTTTTTTTTTAAGATTTATTTATTTGAGAGAGCGAGAATGAGAGAGAGAGAGTACATGAGAGGGGGGAGGGCCAGAGGGAGAAGCAGACTCCCTGCCGAGCAGGGAGCCCGATGCGGGACTCGATCCTGGGACTCCAGGATCATGACCTGAGCCGAAGGCAGTCGCTTAACCAACTGAGCCACCCAGTCGCCCTGCATTGTATACTTCTAAGCATTTTAACCCAGGATTCTACCAACCTATTCCCCAACTGCTCCAGAAGTTTAAACAGGGAAGAATGGAGGGGAATGTACTGTTCTCTTGGGCAGTGTAGTGAGCAAGAGAAACAAAGCCAGACACTAAAGTGATAAGGACAGATTTTAATCGGCAATATGCTACTGCAATTGGAAGAGGGTCCATCTTGAACTGAGCTCAACTTCGATTTGTTTAGAGGTGACTGGCATTTAAAGGGAGGATGAGGGGAATGTGAGGGTGATCTGGCTGTGACATCTGTCACCTCATTGCTGGCCCCTGGTTGATTCAGCTGATCTGGCTGGCCAGTGGTGTTCCCTTCCTCCCTCACCGCTCCAGTGCCTTCTTCCCTCCCGAAGTGACGAAGTGACGTGCTCTGTGGAAGAGGACAACCTTCCCTGATGGAGGAGGACCATTCTCTGGGTATGCGAGTAGGTGCGCTCTCCTGCCAGGACCTCCAAACAAGCTCTCAAGGTCCATTTGTAGGAGAAGGTAGGGTAGTCGAGATTCCAAGACTCCAGACACATTCAAATGGGACGCTTTGTTTAAAAATAAATAAATAAATAAATAAATAAATAAGTAAGTAAAATAATAAAATAAAATAAAATAAAATAAAATAAAATAAAATAAGAATGAGGGAATAGGGAGGGGAAATGGTATGGTAGGCAGTCAGGAAAGTGGAAAATCCCTAAGGGTAAGTCAGTGTTATTGCCAATTAGGCCAAGGGTGTCTTTTAGCTGACAATTACATAAGTTAGGATTCTATCCTTTCAAAAACACTGGGAGACAGGGGCTCTATCCTCCTGGATGATTACATTTCAAAGAAATGGCTTTCAGGTCATTGATAAAGACTCTCCTGATTTGTAGGAGATATACATCTCAAAGGGACAAGAAAAGGATTTCAGTATTGTAAGCCCTTTTTAGTAAAAGCTCTAAGAAAGGGAGATTAAGGGCCTATCTCAGGTGTTGGCTAGAACAAGAGGCAAATTCTTTTGACAGCCCTGAGTCTGGCCAGACAAAAACTCAAAAGGCGGCTGCCTGGGTTGTCCAAGGGACTCAACCTTAGGCTATTAGAAGCCATGTGAAAGTTCGGTCAAGTCACTTAGCATAGGGGTTTGAATGGAGTGTCGTACTGAGTTTTTGCAGTTTTTGGTAACCAACAAAGAAAATACTCAGAAGGGGTCAAAGTTTGAGCATGCTGTCTCTCTGCCCAATCTCTGAGGGGCTGGAAAAAGGTAAGAGTTACCTTGTCAATATAACCAGGAAGGCAGATGTTTCTACACTTTGGATCCAGGCAGAACTAACTACTAAAAGCAGAGTGGGAATGGTCCCTAGAGCAATGGTTCTCAAATGGAATGATTTTGCCCCAGGTGAACATTTGAAAATGTCTGGAGACAGTTCTGTTTGTACGTCCAAAGGAAATGGGGAACTGTAAATGGCATCCAATAGGTGGAGGCCAAAGATATTGCTGTAAGGGAGGAAAAAGTAATGTTTCCTGTACCCTTCTGAGTTTGTAGATGAGATCCCTATAATAAAAGACAGATTAGGAAGAGAAAAACAAACAGAAGTTGATTAACATGTACATCTCATGTATGCATGGGAGACACCTAGTGAAAAATGGGTAACTCAGAGAGGTGGTTTCAGAATTCAGGATTAAATACCAATTTAATAGGAAAGAGAAGGAATGTAGGCCTCTTGGGCGAGAGTAAATGGTTTTTAGGAAAATGAGCCTTTAGAAGAATAGATGAGAGACATGTTAGTTTGTGACAAAGTCTGTCTGGGTGTGGTGTCAATTTCTAGTTTCCTGTCCTGTGATGAGTGGGTAGATGAAACTGTGGGTCGATGGAACTCCCCACAAGTTTTGTGACAACTGAGTTGCTTTTGGAGAATCTGTCTTTAGGCAGATAGAGGGAGTTCAGAGACCGCCTCTCCCATCATTTGGTGTTTTGCAAGTGCCTGCGGCTCAAAATAATCGATGTACCAATGTGACATATTTGGGGGTGGCATGTCCTGGACTCCTACAGTCATATTTTGAGGTGGCATATTCTGTTACCATATACTGCTTAACATCCTATTGCATAAGACAGCCCTCCACAACAAAATTTACCCAGCCCAAAATGCCAACAGTAACAAGATTGAGAAAACTGCCAAAGAGTTTACAATGCATTTTAAGATTCATTACTCATATTACTCTTACAACTACTGCAAAAGAAAGGGTTGAGAGATACCATCATTTAACATAAGGGAGAGCTGAGTCCCAAAAGTTTAAAAGATTGTCCCTGCATTGCACATTTAAACCCAGACTTGCAATTGTAAATAGCTTTATACTCCCTTTTGAAGAGGGTAGATAAGCAAATGAAGTCTCACACTTCCTGGAATAACAGGTTTAAGAGAGGGGCCAAAGTAGAGAGGCTTTATAATCAAGGAGGCAGAAGAACAACTCTCCATGGAGTCTGGAGAGGGACCATGAAAGGAAAACTAGTAAGAATTCTAGAGACAAGCTTAATCAGCCTTAGTTAACAAGAATCTGACATGCCAGAAACATACAGCAGGACAGAGATACTTTCCTACACTAATCATATTTGAGACATGTTATTTGATGGGGAAAATTGATATTAATCATAAATTGCTATTATTAATGGGATCTCCTCATTTTCCCACAAATTGTATGTGGTCTTAATCTTAGATGAGATCATGGTACTTTTGAATAACAATTTCCTCCAAACAAAGGTCAGATTCTCTCTGCTAGTTCAGGTGCTGCCGCATACTTTTAGGGGTGTCTCACAGTTGAGGTGTTGGTGACCATGCAAAATTTGTGAGGTGTAGTTAAATGCAGGCAATGGCAGGCACTATTATAGAAAAGGATTTCTTAAATTGGGAAAAAGGTATAATTTGGTGAATATTGAGTAGAAATTGAAAAGAGACCATGACCAACTTGTTGCTCGGTATGAAATATATCACACTCCATTATTACAAATAGAGGTTTGAGCTAGAATTTACACTTCAGCAAGTGATGAAATAAAAAGAGTCTCTTCCATTACCAATCAGTCAGTCTTCCAGATGGTTGACACTGTGGTGGTCAGAAGGTCCTGTGGGGAGAGAGACATATAAACAATTGACTATAATAAAAGCTAAGAGCTATAATATTAATATAGGAAAGTAATATGAAACATGGGAAAAAGAAAGGAATGAAAGATGGTATGTAAAGTTGTATTAGGATTTTCCAGAGAAACAGAACCTCTCTCTCTCTCTCTCTCTCTCTCTGTATATAAATACACACACAAACTTTTGTTTGTGTACATATATATGTTTGTGCAAATATATATGTGTGTGTGTATATATATATATGATTGATGTTGATTAACATGTATACCTAGGTGTAAATGGGAGAAAGAGAGATATATACATATATGCATACATAGAGAAAGAGAGATTTATTATAGGAATTGGCTCATGTGGTTATGGAGGCCAAGAAGTCCCACGATTTACTATCTGTGAGCTGGAGAACCAGGAAAGCTGGTGGTGTGATTCAGGCAGTGAGGGGAGGTTGGATGGTAGACTGATGGTGTAAATCTGTTTTGAATCACGAAACCCAAGAAGCAGAAGTACCAGAGTCTGAGATCAGAAGAAGATAAATGTCTCAGCTCAAGCAGAAAGAGAGTGAGTTCATCCTTCCTTTGCTTTTTTGTTCTATTTTGGGCTTTCAGTGGATGCTGTCTATCCACATTGGGGGTGGCCATTTGCTTTACTCAGTTCACCAACTCAAATGCTAACCTCTTCCACAGCCACCTTACAGAAACACCAGACATGTTTTATCAACTATCTAGGCATCCCTTAGCCCAGGCAAGTTGGCACATAAATAAAATTAACCATCAAAGTCTACCTTTTCTCAATTTAATACTTATACACATTTCCTTAAACCATATTTAATCTCCAAATAAAGGCAACAATGAGGTCATAATTCCACCTAATTTGATACAACTAAGTTGTATATGACTGAAATGCACTAATCC